TATCCTTGGAGTGGCAGATTTTTAATTTTCTCTGGGGGACATTAGAAAGGACATGAATTTTTGAAGAGTTCCCACCACCGTAAAGTATTAAATATTTATTTGGTTGGAGCTGTCAGCATCAGGAAAGAACAATTCAGTCAGGGTGTTTGACACATAATGCATGAAGCAGCTGATAACCTTGAAACTGGTCCCAGAGGCAGCCAGGCCTTGAGAATTAAAGCGTTCCCACAGGGTGGAGATGGGATTAAGCAGAGGGAGGAGGGTTGGGAGCATTACCAAGGAGTAGGGTAAAAAAGCTCAGGCAGGGCAAAGCAAGGCTTTGCAGGGAGTAACTGCAGAAGGCAGGGATTTAGAGCCCCATAGGTAGCCCTTCCCACGGCTGTGTCCTCTGCAAGGGGGTTTTGTACATGGGTGGAAAATGCTAATGCCCTTCCAGTCTTACAGACTGTGGGCCTGTGAGGCAAGAGGCTTGTCTTGCTGTCACTCGCTCCCACTCTGCCTTTATAAGTCGTGTGGAGGAGTGAGGAGCAGGCACCGCGCTTGCCTTCAGGTGCCTTCACGGGCTGCCTGAGCCAGCCCTGCTCATCGCTGCTGCGAGAGACGCAGCGGAGCAGCAAACACACCGTGCCCTCTGAAATAGCTCAGCCAAACCTCCTCCTCCATGCGACTTACAAAGCACAAACGGCACCTCGCGCTCGCGACCGGCCGTGCCCGCTCAGCCCGAGCTGGGGAGTCCTTGGGAGCTCATCGCCGCTCGAGGGCACGGGACGAGGGAGCGGGGTCTGCATTAAGGAGAGACCGGGCAAAAATGAGTTCATGCAGGTTCAGCCGTGCAGCTGCTAATGTTACAGGAAGTTTAGTGAGCAACGTGGTTGAAATTCAATGCTGAATTGGCACTGTTTGTGCCTCTGACCTGGGTGTTTCTTGTAGCAGTTGGCCACGCTTCTGCCCTATCAAGCCTTCCCTCCGTGTGCCCGCGTGGAACAGAGCAGCTTTTCCTCCTGTGGGTTTCACAGGAAGCCTCGTGCAGAGAGAGCTCTTCTCTGGGCATGCTGAACCTCAAGTTACTGCCACTAGGCCAAAGTATCCTTTTTTTGATGGAAAAATCCAATGGAAAGAGCCAGGAAAACTGTGTGGTTTCTGCAATGTCTTTCTGTCTCACAGTTTTGAACCATTCTCCCTCTCCTGAGGCTCACAAGCCAGGTTTTCAGCAGAGCAGGATTGCCACGAGTTCTGCTTCTGGCTGCTACCTTTTTGGAGGATCATTTTAAGAGGAAAAATAAGGAGGTATTAATTTGAAGCAGATTCCCAGCTGGTGTCCACAAACAGGAGCCCACAGTTAGGTCCCCAGTCACCACGGCTTCTTTCTTTATCTGGATCCCTTATGCTGTCCAGAGGGGCAAGGAAAGGAAAAGAGAGCTGCAGGAAGGTGACCGAAGTCCAGGTCTGAGAGACTTAAAAATTCCTCCTTTCAAATTGCGCCTAGCAATTTTGCATCAATTCAGAGTTTGGGGCTTTCCTGGTGAGTGTTATTTTTCCACAATGCAGAAAAAAATGCATGACATTGTGAAAGAGCTTCAGGCAGGTTTTCAAGTTCTGAGGTTTTGGTTTGGTTTGTTTTGTTTTGTTTTTTTTTTTTTTTTTCCCTTTACACCATTTGAAAAACAGCAGTCACCAGAATTTAATGGCTAATTCTGTCTTCAGGAGCATCCATACATCTTCTGATAGATTTTTCAGGGAATGTTGTGCTGTTTTGATAGGCAAATGGCTGCAGTTTTGTGCTATTAGTCCTGACGTATATATAGCAATACAGACACCCACTATGCACCATGAAGATGCTTCTGTCTCATCGGGAAGATGGCTGAGATCAAGGCCGAAGGTGCCGTTTTGCAGCTCTATAATATAAAAATGGTGCACCTGCAGCAGCCAGGTGAAGCTCAGGTCTCCACATCTCAGAAAGGATGAAGCAGGGTCAGAGAAGGGCAACTAAAACAGCTCAGAAGATGGAGAAACTTACTTATGAAAAGAGATTAAAAAGACTAATACTGCCCTGTTTGGAGAGAAGACCGAGGCTGAATATGATCAAGGTTTATAAAACCATGGAGACAGTAGGTGAAACAAGAACATGGAAATGTTCACAAAACCCCACCATACAAGAAGTTGAGGGTGAGAGCACTAGATGAATCTAGTAGATCCACTTAAAACACATTTTTAAAATTTCACCTTTACACAGAGGGTAACTTCTGGGCCTTCTTGCCATAAGCAGGTGTGTAGTCAGAGAGCATCAGCAGGTTCAGAAAGGTATGAGACAAATTCATGGACAACCGGTTCACACATGGATACCAAAATGTATATGCAGGTATATACCCTCCAACACCCCAAATGTAACAGCTGTGATTGCTGGGAAAGTTCAAAGGGGAGTGAAGTGCAGAAAGTGGCCAGGTTCATACTCTCTCCCTGAACAGGTTCTCCTGCCATTGCCAGAGACTGGGCAGTGGGCTAGATGGGTCACTGATCTGACCCAGTGGGGCATTTATCATGTCTTAGGTTTCCCTGGGGAAAAAAAAAACAAACAAAAAAACAAACAAACAAACAAACAAACAAAAAAAACACAAAAAAACCCCAAAACAAACACAAACAAACAAACAAAAACAACAACAACAAAAAAAAACACCTAAAAAACCCCCTATATAAATATATACTGTGTACCACAGAATTTTCATACTATCCAGTCACTGGCCTGCCCATTGAGAGTGTCACCAGAAAGGACAAATGTAACCTTGATTTCAGTCCTTCTGGAACGGGAATAAGACAATTTAATAACAAATAAATAAGTGCCACAACCAAGGCTACCTGAATTTTGACAGGTGTCCTGTAAATGAAATTAGATATTTTATTGCCACTCCCCTTAAGGCTTTTAAGCTTCTACCTCACAGAAATTTGTTTTGAATTATTTTCCAACAAGTAGCTACATTAATAGATTTTAGCAGATGCCTCAACTAGTCTTTGTTCTCAATGGGAAAATTACATGAATTAAAAATCAAGGCTTTTATAGTTAGGGAAAGATGTAAGTGATACTGGGTTGCTGAGTAAAAAGGGATCCTTCAGCAGTTAGACCTCAGCTGAAATCCTGCAATTATGCAAGGTGGGGCTCTTCTGAAAGGTCTCAGAGGAAGATGTGCCATTCTCACCATGAAAATATGCTTCCAGCAAACAAATTAGAGCCTCTGTGCTGCTGTTGCTGCACAGAAAGGGAAATAAGTGGAAGTCCTTTGGGGGTATTGGTGAGAAAAATAATAATAAAAAAAAAAAGAACACCAAAGCAGATGCCCTTGGAGAGGCTTGTAGACCAAACCCACAATCTCTATGAAAGAGCAAAATGAAAAACAGGAAGGAGTGAATCAGCAAGCCCCTGGGCCCATTGCTCTGCTGTTGAAGCAGCAGCTAACCATGCAGACTGTACAGCTGCAGTGTATCCTCACTGACTGACACATCTCCAGTCTGTACATTTCTTAGAGTTTACTGCAACCTTTCTAATTACCTTCACAGCAGAAATGTGGTTTCTGTGTTGCTCTTACTCACTTGAGACATGCCACTGCCTTGGGAGGGTATAGGCTGGCCCTTCCAACTGCATGCTGCAGGGCAGGAGCTTGTCATTACTACTTGTCTATAAGATGTCGTTCTTTGTTGTTGTCATGGTATTTTACCAGTTGTACAAGTAATTAGCTCCCTGTAGACATGGTATTGCCAGCCCCAGCAATCTTTAACGGCTTAATTATCAGTGTCTTAAAACAAGAAGCATTGCATTCTTTGCTGTCTGAGCCATTGTATTTCACCTTCACTGTTGTCCACCTTCAAACAAACTTGGAAACAAGCAATTGAGCTGAGGGGCTTACCACACCAGTTCTCTGCAGAACTGCAGCTTTAAGGAAAACCATCAAACACTATGCATCTTGATACGTATCTTAACAAGAGAAATGGTCATTATAAGCATGGATTCAGCCATCTCCTCCAAAATTTACTTATGGTCAGCCTATTTGTAGCTGATAGGAGCCTCCCTTTATTCCTCTGTGATTTCTCTCCCACAGTTTGGTCCTAAGATTGAGATCAGATCTTAAAGGGTATAAACAGTCTTGTCCAGATCCTCTTGTAGGGACACAGATTTTGCCCTAAATCTTTTGGGAAACACAGTAAGATTTAGAAGCCTGAATTTTACTTGCAGTGTAACTGGCATCCAAACCATCTGAGAGCCTCTGAAATATAATTTGCTCGTAATATTTCTAAAGACTAAGCTTTCTTTTTCCTAAGTAAAAAGCAAGATGATTGCAATTATTTTTGATACGGGTTTTACGTTGCAAGTCACATTAAGCCTTTAATGACACTAGATCTTGAACAACAAAGGGCCAGTTATGAAATGTATCATTATCAAGTGATAAGCTGTGGCAGGTTTAATGGAAATAGAGAAGAATGTAAACTGTAAACTTTTGGATCAAAATCAGAAAGAAGCATCCGTACATCCTCTATCTCACAAACAAACAATGCTTTCAAAAATACAGACTATATCCAGTTCTTTATTGCTGCCTTCCTAGATAATAAACAACTGCATACTTAGTGAGGGTTTACTGTGACATATCTATATGTTTTGTTGTTATAGAGACTTCTGTAAAATACTCCCCCAAAATTATTTTTAGCTTGCTATCAGCATGTTCATTACAAGCACATTGGAACATGGCCACCCACCTCATAAACAAATCAAAACAAAGAAAGGGAGAAAAAAACAAACCCTGAGTCATACCCTTGTCTTCCTGACAGCACTGAATCCAATGATATGCACTACTGCCTTAGTAAGGGGTAAAAGTAGTTAATCTGTCTTTGGACTAGGTAGCATGACATTGAATTGGTGGCCAGTTTATTCACAGCTCAGCAGAGAATCAGCTGCAGGTAAAACGAACAGACCCCTCACCTCCCTAATAAGCTCAAATGTCTGCTATCTATTCCAGATAATTCATCTTTGTCTGCTCTAAAGTACACATCACCTGTACCCCACTCAGGAACAGTAAACACTTACTCATTGTAATGAAGAGGACTGCCTCTGGCAGATTAATTGCTCTGACTCCCCTCCTCTGTAAGTAAAACACAGTCTCTCATTTCTTTTTGGATATGTTATTTTAGGAGTTCATCTAAACGCTTGGCAGAGGGGCAGGTGCCCTAGACACTCCTTAAAACTCCAAGACCAAGCTCCTCATTTTATTTAGTATCTTTGTAGGCTCGGGTTAAAGTGCTTTACAGAGCTACCGTTTCAAGGAATCCTCTCTGTGATTTGTTTTGTTTTGTTTTAATGATTTTGATTAAATTCATCCTTTTTTTGTGTGTGTTTTTTTGTTTGCTTCTTTTTGTTAAAACAGTTTGTGTTACATAACTTTTCATGAAGATATTCTTGTTCTTGGCTGCTGAACTTTTGTGAAGTCCTCCCAGCAGAGACAACCCAAGTTACCTACGGTCATATCACCAACCTTGAGTGAGCCTGGCACCCATGACAGCAGAAACACTGCATGCCCATACCAGCCCCGAGCTTACTTCCATGCGACACCAGGACAAGCGTGAATCGCAGCTGTGTAGTAGGCCGAAATGCATCATCAGCTTTTCATAGCACTGTGAGAGAACTTGCTTATTTCTGGACACTTGGCAGAGAATTCTGGGAAGGCCATGGAGGACCTCAGGTGGTCCATGGCAGTAGCCTGCAAACACTCTACAAAGCACTGTAGTATGCCCACTTGACCATCTAAGCCAACCGATCCCAGCTACAGAAGGGTTTTGTGTGCAGATGGCAGCTAAAGTAGGGCAACACCTGTGCTCCAGCTCAAGTTAATATTGCAAAGAGAAATGCTTTTGAATTAATAGCTAAAGGAAGCTTGAGAAGCCATATGGTCAAATGATGACAAAGGAACTGCATGGTGGCATGGGGATTAATTATCACCAGCCCCAAATGGGACGTGCTTCGTTGAGTTACAGGTGAGCATCCATACTTTAGTGACCTGCAGAATTGTGCTGTCACATTTGTTTGTCTTGCAGAGGAATCAGGGAAGGCTAATTCAGAAATGCAGGATTTGTAAACCTGCCTGTCTGAAACCTTTGGGTGGAAGGTGGCTGTTGCATGTGCAATGTTTGTTTCCCGATCTCAATATTGCCAGCACATATGCATCGGTAGCTTCAACTGATGGTGCTTTCTGCTTACTCTGCAGTGACAAATGTCAGTTCTACTTCATCGGTACAGGATGCTGGCATCATCTGTAACACAAATCCTCTTCCTAGTCCACGTACCTTGGCATGGTGGGGCAGGCTCCAACATGAGAAGCAAAGCAATCCTTTGCCTCTGGTCCCTCACACCAGCACAGCCACGGAGTCTATTGCCTAAGCAGTGGGAGTCTGAAAGATGGAACCACCCACTGAGATACACCACTCTTCCATGGCACATGAGATTGGAAAGAGAAGCTGGGGTCTTTGCTGGTTGTACAGACAACCTCAGGAGATGGGGTAGCACTTATCCCTACCCTATTCTCTTACAAAAATGAGCAACACTCATTTTGTTACCAGCTTGTCTTTGCTACTTGTCTGACTTTTTGTTTTCATGATGGTTTGTAGCCATCTCCTGGGGAGATGGTCTGTAGCCCCTGAGCTTCCTGAGACTCAGCAGAGCAGCTCAGTGTTCCTACTCAGAGCAGCAGAATTGGTCCCTGCTGCAGCAAGGTGGACCCCTTTTTGACAGAAGGCACAAGCCTGCCATGTACAGTGCAGAAAGCTGGCTGTGCTCACAGAGCACATCTTGTCCCTGTAGGCAGTGGAAGGATGTCTCAGACATCTCTGTACAAGGCACCTTCTGCATAGCCCAACAGCAGTATATTTTTTGCCAGTGATGTGAATCATCACTATATAGTGAGCAAAGGAATTAGTAAGGACAACTCTCATGCCTGAAAGGGTACAAGGAAATTGGCTCATGCTATAGGAAAACGTGAAACAAAGAGGCTGTCGGACATGTAGGACAATAGGATTCAACCCCCTTGGCTGGTCTGTACATAGCCCTGTGCTGTCTGTCAGCACAGACATTCCTCTCCTCTTGACAAAGAAACAGACATGGCTGCCAAAACAGTTGAGGAAAAAGAGAATTTTTTTTTTTTTTTTTAATATTGCTTCGAGGTCTGAGTACCACAGGATCACTTTGAGAAGATTCTGCCCCAGGGGTGGTTGGTCTCTGTGGGGTTTCCTACCAGTCCTCCCCAGGACCACTTGTGGCACAGGGAGTGCTGCTCTCTGGGCAACTCAACTTCAAAATCTTAGTGGCAGACCAAGGAGTAGCAATGTTGTCTCACAAATGCTGAATCCAAACACCAGTTGGGGATTCTAGGCTGTGGACGATGACACCTTATGGAAGCAGGCAAGCTTCCTATGAACTTCTGAATGTTAAAAATCCTCTTATAAAAAGAAACAGGCTTTGGAGAAAGCCCAAGGGCATATTTCAGAGCACTCTGGATTTTAGCCTGTTTCAGACTCTACTGCCAGCTATCCATCTGTCCTGCTAACGTACTTCGTTTTGCAGCTAGGTAATGAGCCTCCAGCTCCTTTACTGGTGGGATTATAATTGTGAGGGGATAGGGAGACAAACTTGTTATGTGGGACTCAGGGGGGAAGGACCATAGGGGGATTTTCTCATTTTTCATTCAGCACAGTTAGAGTACATATCATTCCAATGAAGTTATCCCCATTAGTAAGAAATATGTCCCTCTTCCTTGCCAGGGGGAAGCTAAGCCCTGGTTGAAAGGACTTGCCACAGGGGCTCTCAGAGGTGATGTTTCACTGACATGAAGTGGTGTCTCTGGATCTGGCCATGCTGCCTCAACAGAGCATGGGAGTGGGCAGACCGATCAGGGCAAGAGGAACATGCTTTTTCTATTACGTTTTTCCTGCACATTAATAGGCAGAGATTTTAGATACAGAGCTCAGAAATGCTCCAACTCCAGCAGTCACGGCTTGCCTTTTGTTCGTGCCTGGAAACTACTCAGCTGGCACGAGTGACTTCTTAATGTCCAGCCAGCCTGGACGGGATACGGCAGGACCAAGCTTTGGCCAAGTGCCTGCTCCTCTGCGGCTCCCACTGCTCCTCTTGCTGCCTGAAGAGATCCCTGCCAGTCCCATTTACACAGGCCAACCTCTCCTGGGAGGCTTTGGGAATCTCCCCTTTTGCAAAGGGATGATAGCAGGAGATACATACATCCCTTATCAACCGTTACCATCCTCTACAATGGGTAGAAACTGATCTTTGTGGTGGTTTATGGCTTTAAAAGCTATTGTGCTTTCAGTTAATTATTTGATTTTAGCTGCCTGAGTCACTGATGACCTGACTGTTTTGATTTTAGCGGCTTTTATTTTGTCTTCCTTGGAATGGCATTGCCCAGTGGTAGGCAGTTTACCATCTGAATGGGCTAAATATAAAAGGGTTGGTTATATCTTGCAGTCACGGTGGGGAAAGAGGATTTGTTTTATTTTGATGAGTAGTCTAAATATTTTTGTATTGTATTTTGGCATTTTGAAAGCAGAAAGGTCTGCCTTTGAACTCCACTTAGCTACTGAGAAATAGCACTTCTGCTTTATGTCACAGAGGCATCACCTTCTATAGATTCCTAATAAGGTTTCTATCTGCCCTATTGTGAAATCTCAGTGTCAGAGTAAGTTGACTGTTTTCGTTTCTCATGAAAGTGCTTGCCTTAGTTTAAAAATAATAGCTAAGCTGATATTTTAGTAAATTTATATTTCTCTTTGATTATGAGTTTTTTGTGATTACAAAAGTCAACTGTAATATAGTAATGGGAGCACAATTATACAAAGCTGGTGTAGCCAAAAATTAAAAAAAAAAAAAAAAAAAAGGATTATACACATGCTGTATTTCTGGAAGCAGACAAGAATAATAGAAGCTGAAAATTGTCAGCAGCTTCGACAACAGAAATCAGAGCCTTCAGGAGAAGCACGCAAATACTGACACTTCCAAAATCAGAGGTTACTCAGAAAAGAGCTTGATCCCAGTGCTTTTCTCCAGGGCACATGCAGGCTGACCCCATGGGCAGCTCAGGTCTCCTGACAGTCAGAAGCACTCCAGTTTCAAGGTAAGAGTCTCTTTCTCTTACACTGTGGTGCTTCAAATGGAATTGAGTTTCCTCTAAGCTTTATGCTTGGTGGAGCGAAATAATGTCCTAATTGTTGAAAGATTGGCTATTGGCCACAGTAACTTTAAAAAAAAAAAAAAAAAAAAAAAAAAGGGTCTGAATTATAAAATAGACAAAAAAGCTTATACTTGGGCTGGCTTTAATGCCACCAAGCAGATTTAGTGTTAACTGTTGCTCTGCCTTTAAATATCAGCTTGTATCCAGCACCATCAAAGAAATACCCCCCTCAGAGAGCCCAGTTCTCCAGCAGGACCACTCTGCTGGGAAAAATGTTGAAGAACAATACTCGGGCAGAAATAAAAGGCCAAACTGCTGCAGCTGCATCGCTTGAAAAGGAGAAGCCCACACTGAAAGAACAAGGGCTTCCTTGGACTGTTCAGACAGCCAATACCATGCCGATAGCAGAGGCAAAGACAAGGTGTGATTCTGCCGTCAGCTACCCAGTGTAGTAGATTACAGCTGTGACCACATTACTGAAGACGTATTTATGATTTTCCATCAGGATAAATACCTAATTTTGTTCATTTCTGAGAAACTAATGATGTTTCTTGGTTAATTGGGTTAATAAAAAAATGTCGCATGCCATGTATATGAATGTTTTATCTCATTAACTCACCATAAGCCTTTTGAACCTAGTTGTCTCCTCATCCTTTGTACACAACAAATCTTATGTCTAATGACCATCACTCTTCAAGCAGATCTTAAATATCATGCCTCGCCCATGATGAATGGTGACACAGACACCCACATACCCTGCATTTACACCCAGAAAGTCCCATCTCCCTTTCACCCTGGCTTGTGAAGCCTCAGAAACCAGAGACAGGTTGTTGACATCCCTGGGAGGTACCTCAGGTACGGCAGCATCTCTGCTTTCCCAGGATGGCCTAGTATTACGAAGGGTTTGGGGGGCCCTACCCAGCAGGACAGCAGCTCACACACACACTCGCCCAACCCCTTTTGCAATTGCTGTGCAAATTATTTCTCACCTGACTGGGGCTTTGTGTGTGTTTCAACAAGCATTTCACAGCTTTGGTAGTCTTTACACATTAAGAGAGGACATCCTGGAAGAATGAAGTTTGGGACTCTAAGCTTTTGGATTTTCTTTTACATTTTCAGGCTCATTTTTCATAGGAAGAGTGAAAGACGCCCACACTCGTTTTCCCCTTGTTTTTCCCTCAGATCAGGTTGTCCTTTGTCCTGTCAAAGCTAGAAATAGAATTACTGAACATGCTGGAGCAAGTTCCACCACTGTTTCCTTAATCTAATCAAGCAGAATTTAGTCCTACTGAGAATTACTCCAGCCAAACTGCTTCAGACCTGTGCCGAAGGCACTGATCGCTCGCAGACAAAGCAGGAATCTGCTCAGTGCCAGCACTGCTGAAGTCCAATCTGCCACAGATTTGCATCCTCTATCCTTTAGCCTTCCCCACAATTTCCCCTGCATCCCATGTCTGACCCTTCCTGGTCTTTTCCGCACCCTCCAGTCAGGCCAGAGAGGGTGAGTCCCAGCAAGGGCAGGTGTTAAGGATTGGGGCTGGGTTATCACTGCCTACCTGCCAGCACCAGGCTCACGAGCAGGGTAGAAGGGTGCATGTCTCTCCCCTACCCCCCGTACCAGTGTCGTGAGTTACCCTCCACAGCTCTGAGACCTCTGTGCCCTCTCAAATTTGTTTAAAATTAGCATAGGGATTTAAAAGCTATGAGCACTTGCGTGTGAGGGGCAGGGAGGGCAGGGCTGCAGAGACGTAGTTGTGTAAGCATAATTCACTTAGGAAAATAGGCTAAAAATAATAAAGC